TCCTGCTGATGGAGGCATTGAGTGACTCCAGGCCTTTTCCTAAAGGCAAAAGTAGGTATCACCTTCCAAGATTTGAAGCCAGCAATTTAAATGGCACTGAGATGCATTTAAATGAAAGTCACAATAGGATGTCTAAACATACCTGTGAGGGAAAATGCTTCCTTTCTTCTACAGTTTACATTTTATGGGTCCTGTGAGGGCAGTATCTAGTTGGTTAGAAGTATGAATTTGAGAGGCTCAGGGCTGGAAATTAGTAATTTGAAAATCTTGTAAACTAAAAATTATGTTTCTTGCCTTGCTTTTAGGATGAGAAAAATGAAGAATAACATATTTTGTATGCTATACCAAAGTGTTGCATTATGTGAAACAAGCTGAGTATAGACCTGGTACTTGTGAACTACAGATAAATTTTGCCAGCAGATTGTCATAGTTTACTAATTTTTTTATATGGTGTATTTTACTTTCCTGATAGTTTTGCTTGTATTGCCAAATTTTCACTGAAAACAGCTAATTTATTTTATGCATTAAAAGTTTTGGCCACCTTTAATACTGAAATTTTACTTCTCTTAACTTTTCAGTATCAAGTTGGGCAACTTTATTCTGTGGCAGAAGCTAGCAAAAATGAAACAGGAGGTGGTGAAGGAATTCAAGTCTTAAAAAATGAGCCTTATGAAAAGGATGGCGAGAAGGGACAATATACTCACAAAATCTATCATTTAAAGAGGTGAGAAAAACATTGATGCATATTATGGTCACTTGGTTTTGAGCAAGAAGTGTTTAGAAGTGAGGGCAGCCTTCCATTGTTTACTATTCTGGGGTACTTGTGTTTTTCTGCCACTCTTTAATTTGCTGAATTGTGCATGAATGCTCTGGTGAGTGGGAAAACATGTGAAATACAGTGGATTTTAAGTATGTGGGATAGAGTAATGGAGAACCATGCAAAATGTCCAATCTGTGAATAGGCAAATGCATCTCTAAGTAGGAATAATTTGAATTCTTAGTATATGACTGAAATGATGGGTTGGTATCACAGATGCTTTGTAGGATAGCCCAAAGATAGAGAAGTATAGAGAAAGGAGAATGATTATTGCATTATAAAGGAAGAATGTTGTTATTTGATCTGGTATTTAAGAAGGAGTTCTTATTACCTGAATGCTCTTTAAAAACACTCTATAAGGCATTACACAAGTTCTTGTGGTGTGGTATGGTAGTGTTTTTCTGAGAGAGAATGAGTAAGGTAAAGAATATTTTCAGAAGTTACATGCATTGTGGAGTGGGTAAAACCTGAGTTTTCCTTATAACTGACACAAATGGGGTCTGAACCTCTAGGGATTAATAGTCAATCTTACAGTACCATAAAGGTAGCCATAGTGCTAGAATTTTCAATATGAACAGGTTTAGTATTCCAGATGTTTATAATTGGAGAGATCTAAAAAGTTGAAGAACTGAATATGTTTGTAGTTGGCTACCCATGGGGGAGGCACAAAGATGAGGTGGGAATAAATGCTGTACAGTAGTACTGTTCAAAAGCATCTGAATGTTTAGTGTCTTGGCAATGTGAAAGTAAACATGAAGACAAACTTTCTTCAGGGCTGTGTTATGTAGGATTGTTGCATGCAAGGTATGGATCATAACTCCTTTTGTTTGGCTTTGGACATTGGGCTTCCAGATGTGCACAAACTAGAGAGAAACCAGAGGGCAGAAAGTAGTGTGGGCAGCATGACTCGTGTGGAAGCACTGAAAGAATTGTATTTGCTTATTCTGGAAAAAGAGAAGTCACAGATCAGTGGGACGTAAGGCTTCTGCAATATGAAAAAGTTGGGTTTTTTCCTTGAATCTAAAAGAAAAAAGGACAGGAACTTATGCACCATCCTTGCAGAAAAATTGAGTATGGAACGCTTACATAGATTGAACTCTGTCTGTCCTTTACACGTGTGTGTACATGTAGTTTGTTTAAACTCACCTACTGAAGGGTACTAGCCTCAGGTATTCTCCTAGGTAATACCAAATTTCTCTTATATCAGATTTTGTTACTTTTTTCCCAAGCATCCAATTTTTGGCAACTGTCCATTGGAATAGAGAGGGCAATTGTTATCAGAGATGGTAATTCTACTGCTTATGGTGAGCTGCAGTTTTCCATTTCAGGCATGGTTGAAATAGTTGAATGGCCTTCCATCCAGGCTGCAGGCCAGCCAAGTTACAGGCTTGCTTACTGATGAACCTGCAGTTCTGCTAGAGAGTTTGAAGGCGAGATCTCTCGGGCAGCGCTCTCCCTCAACAGTTGTCCTTGCTGTTCTTGAAGAGAAAAGAAAGCATAGCTTTCATTGTGATCATCGTGCTTCCAAAATTATTTCCAGCTCACTCTCAATTATCTTATTATTACCTCCCTCATTTTTTTCTTAATTATTTTGTGATCAGTAACATCATTGGAGTTCCTGCATATTTAATTGTGGATAACTTGTACGTTATAACCTTTAAAGTGCTTAAGTAGAATGTGCCTTTCTTACTGGAGTGGAAGAGATCGATGAGGAATTTCAGCTGGCAAAAATTTTAAAAATGTTGTCAACACTTGTTTTTCACAGTAAAGTTCCTGGTTTTGTAAGGATGATTGCTCCAGAGGGCTCCCTGGTGTTCCATGAGAAGGCTTGGAACGCATATCCATACTGTAGAACAAGTAGGTCTCCTGTTGTCTGTTTTGCTGTCAGTGTTCAATCGAGGGATGGCCTTAAGTGGTTTAGGGGAAAAGAGGGTGCCATCAAGTGGAAAATGCATTTCAAATTTTGATGTTGCATTTGTGAGATCTCTTCTGAAAAGGAGAGCTGCTTCTGAAGAGCAGCTTCAATGGACCAATTTACTGGTTCCTACAGAGTCTTGGTATCCAGTGTCCCTAGGGTAAGACTGAAGAGGTGATTCTCTTAAGGTCTAGAACAGATCCTGTTTGAAAAGAATTTAACTCTTCATAGTCTGTTAGAATAAGGTGACTGCTTTATTGTAATACTTATAATTCTGTAAGTTTCAAGAGTAGGCTCTATTTCTTTTGTGTTTCTGTCTAAGAATTTGAAGTATCTTATAACAAACTTCTAAGGTTAAGGCTAGCAAGTCAATGTCTGCTGAACTCTGCTGACTTCATCACACAAATGCTGTTAGACTAATCTTGAATGTTTCTTGTACTGTGAAGCAATCATTATATGTGAGACTTTTCAGAAATGATTGTATCTAATAACACTTTGTGTTTCCTTTTCATTTTCATTGCATGTGTTTCCAATGACCAGTTGTCACAGTGAGTATTTGAATTACTATCAGTCCTATGTTGGGTTTTTTTAAATATATTTTATCTGTTATTACTGCTACAATTGACTCTGACTCCAGCAAGCTAGCTCCAACCTTTTATATAAGCCTTGCCATGGTTCCTGGTATGAAGCTCCTTGTTACTTTATTTATCTGCACATGGCTATAATTAGAAAGAACTGTAATTTGTCAGAGAAATGCTTTCATTTTTTACATCTCTTTATGCCTTTACTTACTATTACAGGTGCATAATGTCTGTCCTGGTAAGACCTAATGTTTAAAAAAAGAAAAAATAAAAAAAAAAGCCAAATCAGAGGTTTCTACACTCTTGAATGCAGGAAGGGCAATGAAATAAAATCAGTCCCTAACTGTCTGAAATCCCATTTCTGTAAAGTGAAATCCTGCCCCCGTTAAAATGGGTTAACTGAGAATCTAAATGGGTCATCATAGCTGGGGGCTTGGAGTTTTTTGGGTTTTACTTGAGATGCATGGGAAAGAGATCATTAAGATTTTATTTCCCCATGTATATTTTTTGGTGACCTGTTTAAGGCAGCTTCTAAGTTTAATGTTCATTTGCTTTATCTGCTCACTTCCAACCTTTATTTAGATTGTCACTAAGTGGATGCAGCATAAGGAGTAACTAATGAGTTTGTGAACTGTTTAGCTTGACTCATCACGATACATGTGCACACTGGTGTGCACACTAGTGTGTGCTTTCTTACTTCTGCAATTACAAGTGTTCTGTGCTCACCTTTAGACATACAATTTAGTGGTAGCTGGACCTTTATGATCATAATTGTGCGATACAGGAACATCTAATGTTAATTGGCTATTACCCCTGCATCTCAGGATAGTCTCATTTATTAAAAATTTCATGTAAATGTATTTTAGTTGTTTTGTTTTAATGGCAGTATTAATAATTTGAAAATTACTTCAACATAGAGGTAAAGAATTTCAGGGTTGAGGAAGAAGGGTGGTAAATGACAGTGTTATTTCTATTTGTATGCACAAAGTTAGAGTTGGATTTCTCAAACATGACTGGTTTTAATTTAGTACTTACTGCTGTAGCTGATACTTAAGATTTAGATACTAGTTATCTCATTGTACCTGTTTCTGTGTGTAGGTAAGGGGGCTGTTTCTTTTTTCATTTCAATAGAATGTGTTGCTAGTCAAGGCTTAGTAGTGACTCATATGTAAATACCATTTACCTAAACTTCAGGCAGGGCGCTGTAATCAGACTCACGCTTTTGGATTTTAATTCTTACAGAATGAATACATGAAAGATGACTTCTTCATAAAAATTGAAACCTGGCATAAACCAGATTTGGGGACATCAGACAACGTGAGTTGCAATTTGGATACCAAGCATTAGCAATATTTTTAACACATAGTCATCCAGATAAAGTATTCTGTACCTCATAATGGTGGATAATTACTGCATAAAATCAAAGCCCTACTGGTGATTAATGTAAAACAAGAAAAGTATTATTCAAATCCTTCTAAGGTGGTCAAGCTGACTCGCATAACAAAATGCAAGAACAAGAAAAGGTTTTTATTTTTTATTTTGAGGTCAATGCAGATGCTTGATTCTTACCCAAATATTTAAATAGGTTTTCAGTAAGTTCTTGTTAATTTGATGTTCTTTTACTTTAGACATGCTAGTGCTGCTTAGGCTGACAAGTTTGTTTGAAAACAGGTTTTGCAAGGCTATTGGATTTTATCTGTGTACACTTCTATGGAGTTATGTATTGAAGCTGCTTCTGTAAATTTTCCAGGCTGGTGATACTCTTGTTTTCCTCCCTAGACAGTTGACTCAGTTCACAGGTCTCTTCAGGACATTTTTTTAATCAATAGTGGCAAACTATTGATAGTTTTTTCACAAAATAGTGACAAAATCCACAAAGGAATAGCTGTCAGTATATTTTCAGTGCTTGGGTGAACTGTAGCACTGGATGTACTACTGAGTCACTGTTTTGTAGCACTGGATGTGCTGCAGAGGAGGAGGAGAGTATTTCTTGGACAGCTCTGCTTGCTCTAATTGTAAGTTTAGGTATCCCTGATAGACGTGAAGCTGATTACATCTTCATACCACACACATTTCATCTGGTTCATATTAAAGGCAGCCCTGTGATTTTGGGAACCTACTAAATTTAGTCAGGTTATTGAAACCTGCCATATTTGCACTTTGGAATTTGTGCGGCTTCTTTCAAGATCAAAACACTCACGCAGAGTACTGAATGGGTTTGTTTCTAATTAGAACTTGATTTTATTAGCTCTGACAAATGTGACAGAAGAATACAACTTAATCTTAAATCCAGGTTTCCTGAATGCGCAATAACTGAAGGCTTTGTGGTGGTTTAAAATTGGTTAGTGAGTGAATTAAACTGTAACTGTGGAGATTATTCCCTTTTAGAAAGGCAGAGGAAGGAAGGATAGGTTTTGAGAACAGTGTCTTTATGAAGTCCAGAAAAAATCCATGGCGCACATACGTACTGCATAAGGTGCACCACTGTATAAGCATGGAAAACGTTCCTTCTTCTCTTTTTGCAGGTGCACAATTTAGATCCAAACACATGGAAAAGTGTTGAAGTTGTCCATATTGACATTGCAGATAGAACTCAAGTAGAACCAGGAGTAAGTAAATGCTCTGCTATTGTGATATGGATGTAGCATGCAGCTAATCTTATTGATGCTTTGTGTTGATCGTGAATAAACTAAAATGGTATGCATTTTACCCAACAGATAAATTAAAATTGTCTTGAATAGAATCGTTCATTCCAAAATCCCACACTTACTAAATGCATTTACAACTTCAGTCTACTGAATTTGACTTCTAGTTGCACAACTAAGACATGAAGGGCAACAGTTTTAGCACAAGGTAGTTTTTACTTTTAATTGTAGATAAAGTAATTAATTTGGTCAAGCAAGCATTTTATGTGCTCATCTCGGTGTGTGAGACCAAGCGCAAGAATCTATCCCAGCTGTCCTGCATGACAGCACAGTGTCTTCACCAAGCTACTCCTGTGCTTCTGCTGCTACTTCTTGGTTACAAATTCTTTAAATTAAATTCTGTCCCTCCACACATCCTTTGCTCTGGGCTTATGGCAGTCTCAAGAGGATTGGTCAGGTTTTGCCATTTAAATCTGTGGGGTTTTTATTTTTAACTTTGTTTGTCAGAATAGTTCTCAAGACATGAACTGCTCATCTCTTCTGAAAGCTGTGCGATCACTTTTTCAGTTTCATCTTTAGTGATTGCTTGTGCAAACATAAGTGTCCTTGATACACCCAGAAGTCTATCCATAGGAGTCTGTGGTCTTTTGCCTGAGAACTTGAAGCTTAATATCTTGGTATAAGAAGCAAATATTTAGAAGGACGGATTTTGTTAGTAAGAGCACATGGTTACTCAGTGAATTTGTACACAGAGCATAGCTATAGATTTGGAAGGAGTATCTTTACCACGATTGTGTGGAATCTGTGCTAGCTTGCTTACATATGTGTTGGAAAAGTAAGCAGCTAGATGAAGTGAGTATGGCAAAGTTTAGTGCTGGGCATGCACGCTTTCAACTTGCCTTTCCAATAGCGCTTTGCACAGAAAAGATAGTGGTACCCTGAATCTGATCATATCAAATTCTACTGAGATAAGTACATGAAGAGATTTCTAGTTAAGCTTTATCTGCTGCAGCAGGACACTTAATATTTGTAATAGTTCCCATTCTTTTCCTCTCTATTGTCAATTTTTTGTTAACCAGCTCATAGTTAGTTGTTTTGGAAGGGACTTTCAAAGACTGTCTAGTCCAACCCCCCTGCCATGGACAGGGACATCCTTCACTAGATCGGGTTGCTCAAAGCCTGCCGGAGAGGGGGCATCCACACCTTCTTTGAGCAACCTGTTCCAGTGTCTTGCCACCCTCATTGTAAAAAATTTCTTCTTTATATCCTGTCTAAATCTACCCTCTCTCAGTTTAAAAAATGTTGCCTCTTGTCCCGTCACTACAGGCCTTGGTAAAAAGTCTTTCTCCATCTTTCTTATAAGCCCCCTTTCTGTATTGAAAGGCTGCAGTAAGGTCTATCCAGAACCTTCATGTCTCCAGGCTGAACAACCCCAACTCTCTCAGCCTTTCTTCACAGCAGAGGTGTCCCAGCCCTCAGAGCATTTTCATGGCCCTCCTCTGGACCCTCTCTAACAGGTCGATGTTTGTCTTGTGCTGGGGACCCCAGAGCTGGACACGGTGTTCCACATGGGGTCTCAAAAGAGCAGAGCTCAGGGGCATCATCAGCTCCCTTGACCTGCTGGCCACACTTCTTTTGATGCAGCCCAGGATATGGTTGGCCTTGTGGGCTGTGAGTGCACATTGCCGGCTCATGTCCAATTTTTCATCGTGTATATGATTGATCTGAGTAAGAAGGTAGATTATGTTGATTTTAGATGCTGGTTTATGCAACTTCAGAGGGCAGCTTCACCGTACTTACTCGTGTGCCTGTCTTTCTTCCTCGTTATTACTGCTTTTGCTTTCTACACATCTTTATCTACTGGGCTTGTTGTCTGGTTTGTTTAATTGTAACAGCTGGACTATTCCATGTATAGTCATTTATTTTTGGATAGTAGGAAAATGGTATGTACTGATATCGACACTTACCAATTTGTGTTTATACAGTAAATTTGGTTGTCTCAGTTTTGTGCAAGGAGACACTCTTTATACTATTTAATTGTTATTTTCTGAAAATAAGTACTTGGATATCCTGCATTATGTGGAGAAGGAAAGTAGAGGAAAGGAGGGGGAAGGTTTCTCCTTCAAAAATTTCCATTTGCATTACCAACATAGGTTTATAACCTGCACTGTTGCTTAACTGATGTTTAACAGATGACCTGTGGATTTACATGTGTGAAAATACATTGCTTGGAGACCCTCCCTGTAAACCAAATTAAATGTGTCTTGCCTATTTTAATGCAGCGAGGAATCGTTTTGCTGCCCCTTGTTCTTTCAGACATTCCATATGACCTTAGAGCTGAACTGGCAGGTAAATGTATGTTCTACATTCCCTATTCCGTGCCTGGAATTGTGGCAGAAAACTACAGCGCTATCATCTGTCAGAGTGCTTGCTTGATCACAGTATGTGTAAACAAAAGGTTGTGCTTATTACTGTGTGTTGAACTTAAGTATTTATTCTGTTTGAAGTCCTCTTATTGAACAGCACTGCTTATGCTGTATGCCCTCTTGCACTACCAGATTACATGGCCTGCCTTGATACTGCCCGTTTCCGTTGTACTGAAGACGGACAGGTAGTGGTATGCCAAAAGAAGTTATGCTTTCGGCTCAGGACAAAGATCCATCTAACCTAGAATCCTGTTAGTGGCCAGTAGCAGATACTTGTGGAAGGATAAGAAACTGCGGTAAGTATAGAATACTGGAAGCTGGGAGATGCATATCTCTGAAAAATCAAGCTGTATTTAAAGGACTTCCAGAGCTAGTGCTTGTATCTGGCCTATTGAGTTTATTAGCCACGTAGATGCCCATGAGCATTTTTGAACCTGTTTATACTTTTAGGTAATATACTACGTTTATAAACAGTAGTATACCTTTGAGGAATTTTTGGGGGAAGTTCAGCTACATCACAGTAACAAAATTGTCCTGACCTGCATGCTTACTTTATGCCTTCAGAGAAGGTTGCTGGTTTTGGAAAGTATATGTCTCCTATGAAAGCATTAGCTGTTTTCCATGTTTTCTATTTGTCCAGAGGTTCTGTTCTGACAGTTTTGTCATCTTTTGTTCAGTGATACTAGAGCAGTCACTAGTTTACTCTGTCGGGTAGTTTCTGAAATCATGTTGTTACATGGCTTTTTATATGGGAAATAATTCCTTTTCCCATATAACAACATATGGGAAAAGGAATAGTCAGTGTTGCTGAAGGAAGGTTTTGTTTGTACATTTATTTTCTCAGTCATAGGTTTGCCTGGAAAAGCAAACCAAATGTACTGTCTTGGATAACAGTGTGACTGAAAGACTGGAACTACATTTATAAGATCCAGCAATTTTGATAAAAATTTTTTCATATATTCGGATTTATCCTTGTGTTCAGTGAATGAACCTTGTCCAAGCCATTGTAGCGTGGCAGTTACTTTAGTTTCAGAACTACAATCAGAGTAAATATAAAAATAGTAAATTTCTTTAAGATACTAATGGCATGCATATGCTACCTTATGCTCATTTAAGTATGTATATAAATAATTTGGCTGACATCTGTGGCTTTCTTTAGATACAAATTTAACCCTGCCCTCTCTTAATCATCTCCAGCATACAGTCTATGTAGCTTTATATGATTTGTATATAAACATCACTTCCCAGGAGAGTAAAACTTTTTAAAGTCTAAGCAGAAGAGAACACTCAATTAACATCAGAAAATGCTACATTTTTGTAAACAATTTCTAAGAAAGTAGAATGTAGTGCAAACAAAGAAATTGAAATCAGGTTTATAGCTATTTTTGTACAATGAAGAAATTAAATGTCTTGTTCTAGGTCGTAGTGGGTCTTAATTGTATTACTTGAAACAAAGCTCTAAAAATACAGTTTTATACTCATCAGTCAAATTACTTAATGCATGCATTAAGTACTAGAGATACAGGATTTCTATGTGCTGTGCAGTAAGTACTATCCTTTGTTCTACAGTTTGAAGAAATATAATGGAATATAGGAAATGCTCTTCTTTTGTAGTCTGTAAAAGTGCGTTAAATATTCTTGTGAGCGAAAGGAGCTCTTTTTCTGATAGGTAGATGTCCTCCATTTCGGGCTTAATTTATCATCTGATAGGGATCTAAAAAGTCCATATTATTAGTCCAGAAGCTTAGTATCATCGTGTGTTTTATCGGTAACAGTCTCAGAACATCTTATCTAGATCACGAAGTTGACTCTGTGTATTAGCAAAAGGATCAGAATATACGTCTTAATTTCTTTTTAAAAAATCAAGAACATTTCTTTTTGAAGAAGCATGAGAAAACCCTATTGACTTAAACCAGGTTTTTGTTGGATTTCAGTTCTGTGGGTCTGTTTCATTTTAGTGTCCAGGTGAGGCAGGTGTGTGGATGTATGGACCGCTGCTGGTGCTCAGCTGGTGAATGATAACTAGACAGCTTTGGATCATGTGGTCATATCTTTATTCAGTAGTTGTTTCTCAAGTCTTGTGAAGCTCCACTGTCAAACTGCCGTAGGTGTTTACAGTCTAGCCTGCAAAATTGCTGTGTGTCGAATAATGCTACAACAGGTATGGAGTGGTTAGTCTTTTTATTTCGCTGCTGCTGAGGCGCAGTACTTGAGAGATCCAGGGGATTGTGGATCCTTTAATGTCCTTGACTTGTTTAGAAATTGTTAGTGATCAGAGTTCAGTCATCAAAAATGACAGTGTCTGGTGCTCAGAGCACCTCCTGCAAGTGACCTATGGCTGTGTCCCTGGTCACCAGGGCTCTTTGAGGTGACAGTATCCAGAGATATGCAGGAAAACAGACTGACTGCTACAGACCTGACTTTTCACCCCAAAGTGTGTTTTCTGCTTTGCCTTGGACTTTTGTATTATCGAAAAAGGCTTGTCTGAATTACTGAGTTTGAATAGATGAACTGTTCAACCTCCATCAGTACTTCTTT